GCCTTTTTCCTCTCCTTTGTTTTATAAGGTTTTAATTTTCTCTATTATGATAGTTCCACTATGTTTAATGCTACTTTAATTATATGATTTATGCTTTTCCTTGTAAGACACTCATGTAATTATTTTTCTTAAGGTTGGGTCTCTTCTTTTTCTCCCTAGCGTTGTCCCGAGCGTTGGTCCTGCGCAGTTGCAGGGTTTTCCCTGTCAGTCGTCGCCACTTCAAACTGTCCAGGGCATTTTCCTGTGGCCATGAGTTCACTTAGGTCCTTCTCTTTTGGGGCTCCTCGCGGTCGCTTGCCTTGTGCTTCGAAGTCCATCGCTTTCCTTATCGGGTGGTCCTGTGGCCTCCTTAGCACGTGCCCATACCATCGCAGACGCTGTTCCGTACCTTCAGCTGGACAGGGGCAGTCTGCATGACCGCTCTGACATCCTCGTTTCTGACCCTGTCCAGTCGCGTCCAGCCGCAGGCCCATCTCAGCATCCTCATCTCAGCGGAGTGAAGCTGCCTTTCGTGATTCTTGTTCAGGGGCCAGCACTCGCTGCCGTATAGCATCGCAGGCCTTACCACTGTCCGGTACACCTTCCCTTTGAGCGTTCTGGAGCACCTTCGATCGCAGAGGATTCCAGTGGACTCCCTCCATTTCATCCATGCAGCGTTGAGCCTTCACCGCCTGATCCACACTACCGTCGGCTGCCAGATCACTCCCAAGGTATCGAAGTCCTCCACTCTTTCGATGGTTTCACCATGGCCGTTCTCAAGGTTTAGTACGCTAGAATTCCCTTCAAAAAATCCCTAATCCCTCTTCTCTGAGAGGTCTGCGCCGATTTCCGAGAGGATTTGTTTTTCAACCGTTTTCAACTGGGTTTCCTCAATTGTTTCATGGGCTTTCACGGTAGGGTACTATCTGTTCGGACAGTTCGAATGGGGGGGGGGTATCTGTGGTTTTCGGGTATGGGGCCGTGTTGGTTGGTGCAAGTTGGGGACAATTTTGACGAATCATTCTCAAAGATGCATGAAGAAGGCGACATTACAGGATTTGCAATTCTTTTTCCTTTATTTGCTCCCCTCCGCTCCTTTTGGTCCCTTCTTGCTAATCTCGGTATCCATGCTTCGCAGATTCCAGCGCTCTTCTGCTTAGCCGCAGCTACGACAGCTTAATTCGTTCCAACAACCGAATCTCAGATCTGGCTTTCATTCCAGTTTTTCGACTTCGAGACTAGTGTCTTGTTTTTACCGAGAATGTCTAGAGGAGAGGATAAGAACCCCTGCTGACTAAATCACGGTAAGCAAGACGCAACAATTCTATCGGGAAGATTACGTTCCTCTAACGAAAGGCAATTTCGAAAAGGAATTGACAGATGCTTCCCACGTCAGATGACCAACTGCTTACAAGCCTAAACCAAGCTCCATGCATGGCTACGATGTGATTTCTTCCAAGATCTATGCCTAATGAAATATTGAAAAGAAAAATGAATCTTCTCTATAGGTGGCATAGACGTGTTTCATTTCAAAATGCCAAGCTATTGCAGGTCACTAGCAAACCTGAAACCTGCACCAAGGTTCTTACGCTTGTCCAAAGTTCCCCACGGCAACACCTCAGGTTTTATGTGGCTACGGAAAAGGAGAAGCTGTCTGATGACACCTGACCACTGTCGATTTTCTTTCGGCGGCTGATCCTGCTTTTCCCCAGAACCACTCGACTTTTTCCTGGGATAGTGACGTAGAAGCCAAATTCCCCTCCAACCTGGTGGAATTGTGCCCTCATGTTTTTCGGGTAAATTCCATTAGAGACGCACTGCGACCGTCTGTCAACTGGGCTACGGGCTTTTTTCGATAGGTGGAGAAGATATGTGGCGAAACAGCCGTTATGGGCTGCAACATCCGAGACATTTTCCTCCGTCAGAACGTTCTTTGGTTCTGGCTGAATCATCAATTGTTTGTTCTAATAAATCACAGCGGAGACGTTATCGCTTGTTCCGGGACTCTCTTACTGTCTGGGGTTTTTTTGGCGATTTGATTTCGCCTGAGAAGTTCCTTACTTTTACACTTTCAACTTGCTGTTGCTAATGTGAAAAGTGTTGACAAAAGTGAACTACGGATGGAACAAACCTGCGGGTGATCCTTTCTGTAATGCTGGCGGAAACTGGCGATGAGAAGTATCGCTGATGCGATCGAAAATGAGATCGAGATATGTCAATTTAGACTGTCAAATAAACGTTCACATGTAACTTCAACGTTTCACTCACAACAAATAGGCTTTTAAATCAATGAAAAATAGTCACCCAAGCTAAAATTTCAGTCTGTCATTTTTTTGCCAGAAATTGACTGTGCTAATTCTATACGCCCTTGTTCTAAAAGATTTTTCTCGTTGAAGAGATGCTCTCAAAGATAGCTGCTATTTTGTCTATTGATACAGACGAGAATGTGCTTGATTTTGATTGGAGACTCGCTCCGTCCATTTTTGATTTCTATAGCAGAAAGTTGGCTAAGTCGCGGTAGCAGGGGACGCTGAGACTATGAAATTGGGGCTTTCTAATGTATATTAAACGCTTTCTGGAGATCCCATTTAAGACCTCGCTTTTGTGAGAGGTTTCTTTCGACCCTCTGTAAGTCAACCCTTCTTGTCAATGCACATTTGAGTTAAGTTTTGTAGGCATTCGAAAGCTATTTACTATTCAAAGGCGAGGTCATGGATGAGGTGTCCTATTATGGTTAGGAAAGCCAGCTATTCCAATCCTAGTCATGTTACGATAAAACATTGGGCCTGCAGATACGATCTATTTTATTGAGGCTGCGTAAGCTCAAAGGCGTATGTGACGACAAATTAGATGTGGAAGGAGGGAGATATGTTTACTTAAAGGCACGAGTCGGGATTGAATTGATGCGTTATTTTGTTCGAAAATTAGGCAAGGGGTGCAATGAGGAACATTAGTGAGGAGAAAAAGCAAAAAGCACCATAGAAAACACTAAATTTCCCTTAGGAGGCCGGCCGTAGTATGACGGAGAGACACAGCGCTGCGAGGAGAGGGAGAACGCGAGATAGTACGTCGTACGCGAGAGGACGCAGAGACCACGTATGCCGTGGTTGATAACGCTGGCAGCACGGCAGCACACAAGGCAAGGCCTTAGCGCCGTTGCCTCGCACTTTTGAGTCGCGACAGTGTCGGCCTCCTGCCCACTCCCTTCCGGTAGGAGGGACTGGCTCTTGGAACCTAATCCCGACTCGTGGCTTCAAAGGCGAGTCTCCAAGGAATCCAGGAGGAGCTTGTTTTGCTAGGGCGTGCTCATCTCCACATACCTAGTTATAAACCTAGTAAGCGCCACCTCCCTGGCTAAAATCAAATCAAAGGGAAAAAGGAGCCCATTTCTCGAGTCTCGAGCCGTTTTTGTTGGAAGTTTCTTGACCAGGGGACCTTCTATCACGTCTAATTTTAGCTTCAACGGGCAACGATTTTTTGTACTGTCCGCTTTTAACCAGTCAATCTCCTTGCGGCCTCAGGCAGTGCTCGCGTTTCACTGTATCGATCTAGAGAAATAACTTGAATTGAAAAACATCAATATGACTGGCGTTTATTACGAGTTCCCACAAACCATTTTATTCTTGTCAGCGCACCCTTCTTTGCCCCTACACCATTCAGGACAATATCGCCTCCGACCGTCCGCCGCCGATAGTCCGCTATAAATAAGGATAAAGGATAAAGCATTTGCCGTTGATCAATCCCTTTTGGGATGCGGCACGCATTCTACTTCCATTTGTACATTCGTAGTGGCGTTTGAATGCGATGTGGCCTATACAATGACTTGCGGGGGCCAGCCGATGTACAAGTCAGTGTTTTTATCCTCCCAGACAAGTCTGGTACCAATTAACCGACCCCGGAGGGATGGAAGGCTTGGTTGGCCCGGGCGACTCACGACCCAGGATTTGATCCCCGGACCGCTCGCGTGGTAAGCGTGCCACTTGCCACTACACCACTTCCGCCCTGTGTACAGTCAAAAAAACCTAAGCTTATCGTTGCCACAGATTCCAAATTAGGCTCCTACATCTCAGGCACACATTTAATTGGGACCCCTGGTGAGAACATCTCAAAGTGCTCCTATCAACTGATTTTTTGTTTCAAATGTGTCATACCAACTTTTTTCTTCCACCAACAAGTACGTCAATCGGTACGACAAAAAGGGTGACTCCCAGCTGATTCCTCTTACGACTGCCGAGCGATAAATTCTGTCGCATCA